CGTGTCCGGCCTGACCCAGTTCGTGCGACCCCTGGTCGTGCAGGTCAGAACGTGGGCCAGCCTGCGTCGCTGCGGCCCGCGCAGTTCCCGGGCGGAGCCCCGCGTTAGGTCGAGGGGACCCCCCCATGGGTCGGCGGGAGCGCCCGCAACAGTGCACCTGCCGCAGGTGCGCCGCGTTGTCTCGCGCTGGGTCAGCGGCGGGAGAGCTAAGTGCGCGCACCTGCTGCCGCGCCCCGTCCCCGCGGTCTCGGCGTCCGCGTGTGTCTCTTCGTCGCCCCGCTTTCCCGCTCTGTCCTGGGTGTCCGCCGTACCAGGGGGTCTGTGTGCTGGACTTCGGGGTGGGGGCGGTGCTATTGGAAGTGTTATTAAATAGCTTTGTTAGCATTTTAGTCACATGAGAGGAGACGGCGTCCCCGCCCCCTTTTGGTTGGCCTCGTTCACGTTTGACAATGTCCCATATCTGTAAGATGGTAGGATGTCGTATTGATCTGTTATTGTTGCATGCGTGCAATCAGCGTTAGGGAAAAACTAGGTGCCTCCCCTATCTGTCAAGTTGTTGGGGTTTTTTGTTTGTTTGTTTTTTGTTTTTTAACTAATCCTTTTTTCTGCCTGTGAATGCACATTCGTCTGGTCACTATTCCTCTGTTTTGCCTGTAAGTAGACCAGGGCTCAAAGCTTGCTTGATTGAACAAAAAAACAAACAACAACAACAAAAAAAACACTAAAAATTATTCTAGGTTGGTTTCCTGTGTCTTTCTGTTATTCCTTGTTCTGTTAAATAGTATCTCATGAAGATATTTTAAACTGTTTACTCATCATGGTGGGAGGATAAATGTATCACTTTTGTTTCTTTCTAGACTTAGCCTTCCTTTTCAGTTGCTAATAGTCGATTTGTTTAATGGACAGCACTAAATTTTTGGCTCTATTGGATTCAGCCTTGGGACGGAGGAGTCACTGGATGGTTTCCTTTTAAAAAATCTGCCTGCATAGATACCAAGTAATTTTCCTTTCCTCGGTTGACTTTTTGCACATAAGTAGACTAGAAACAAATCGGACTTCTTGGCTTTATGTGCCTCTTGGCTATAAGTAATTTTTCTATTCCATAATTTTTTTCTCAGTACTTTGAAAATTACATTTAAATTCAAATTGTTCCAGCTGTGAAGGCCTGCCCCAACAGTTGCTGGCCAGAGGGAAAGGGTACAAACAGAGGCCCCCACAACATATTTCAAGTATTTAAACTTTTTAATCAAGTTTTCAAATTGCGAAATGTTCTAGTTTTCAATTTTACAAATATACCATTATTGCAACAAAATAGAAAAACATGTAAAGCTATTTTTATAACAGTTGGGAAAATATCAAAGATAACTGAATGCATAAACATAATTATTCAAAATATAGTAATTTGCATGTATTTTCATCAAAACATGAAAACTACAAAGTATTCCTTAAAACTTTCTGAAATATTTTTTTAAAAATTAAGGTAAAACAAATTATTAATGAACATTAATCTTAAAATTGTTTTCATAAATTATTTTTGAATAGGTAAATCTTAATATTTTTATAAAAATAAACTTAGTCACCATTTTAGTGTTTGCTTGCCATCAACTGCCATTATAAAAAGTCCACATCATGTTCATGCAGTTATGTCTAGATTCACATATATACAAATTAAAGAATACTATGAATTCTTAGAGCTTCTAAATGTTCCTCAGTCACTGTGTGTAACTGTTGCAGATACTGTGCACAAAGTCGCCAATACTTCCAGAGCTACAAGTTGGAATACAAAGAGAGCAAGACAATGGACATTTGGCATTATTAAGAAGCAGCTCTTCATTACTCAAGGATCAACTGTAAACTCCATCAGAGGAAGGATTTGATAATTAATGTCTTTTCTCTGACCTGAGCACTTAGGTTGCTCAAATTCTACTTCCACTCTGAAGTAAAAATGCAAGGATCAGCACTGCCTACAACCTTCTCTGCATTGTTTTGCCCTCCCCTCTCCACCCCAGAATCCTTGAAACTTGTTATTAAGAAAGATTTCTAACATACACAGAATAAACGGAATAGCGTAATTAACTGCAGTCCCTCCTTTCACAGGCATGGGCAAGGGAGGTGTTTCTTTGGAGCCTGAAGGATGTGAGTTGGGAGCGTGGAGGGGTTTGTGGTTATAGGACTAGCTGGGCCAGTACTGAGTACCGGCTTCTGAGTGAAGAGAGATTCCTGGGTGCTTCTTAATAGAAATGTGTGTGTGTGAGTAAGAAGACAATGATGCACAAAAACGTGATATCTGTCACTTTTCATGCTTTGTGATTTTTCTGTCTTAAATCTTCCCATATTGCAAAGTCTGAAAGCTATCTTATATTTTCTTTTAATAGTTTTTAGACATTATATTTTACATTAGGTAGTTAATTCACCTAGAGTTTATTTTTGTGAATGGCAGGAGATAGAGGTCTAATTTTATTTTATTTTTCCATATGGTGAGTTAATTTCTTCATACCATTTATTGACAAGTTGTCCTTTTCCCATCTGATTTGCAAAATCTTACTCATGTGACCTTCCAGTATATGCTTGGGTGTTAGGCATTTGGATTCTGTTTTGTTTTATTGATCCATTTGTCTATTTCCTGTTAATATTATCTTTTAGTAATAGGAACTTTGTGATATGTTTTAATATAAATAGGATGATTCTTCCCTTTATTTTTGAATAGTATTTTTGCTAGCTATAGAATTCTCGTTTTCAGTTTTTTTCTTTCAGCATTTTGTAATTTCTCGTAGCATCCTTGCCTGGCTTTAGTATCAGGTTAATATTGGTTCTTAAAATGAGTTTAGAAATGTTTCTTCTTTTTCTGTTTTTGTTTGTTGTTTGTTTTTTGAAGAGTTCAAGAAGGACTGGTGTTCTTTAAATGTTTGGTAGAATTCATCAATGAAGCCATCTAGTCCTGGGCTTTTCTTTGTTGAGAGTTTTCTTGATTACTGATTCAGTCTCCTTACTAGGAATTGATCTATTCAGATTTTCTGAGTTAGTCTTGATACTTTGGATGTTTCTTATAGCTGCCATTTCTTCCAGGTTGTCCGATTTATTGGCTGTAATTGTTCATGTCGTCTCTTATGGTCCTAGGTATTTCTGTGTTATAAGTTGTAATGTTTCCTCTTTCATTTGTAATTTTATTTCAGTCCTCTTCCCACACCCCCCTTGGTAACTAAATATTTATCTTTTGTTTTATCTTCTCAAAAAAATCAGGTCCTAGTTTCATGGACCTTTTGTCTTTTTAGTTTGTATATCCTTTATTTCTACTCTAATCTTTGTTATTTCCTTCTACTAGCATTGGGCTTAGTTTTTTTTCTCATTTTTCTAGTTCCTTGAGGTGTGAAGTTAGGTTGTTTGAGATCTTTTTTCTGAATGTATGTGTTTATTGCTATTAATTTCCCTCTTAGACGTTTTGCTGTATTCCATAAGTTTTTGGTGTGTTCTCTTTCCATTTTCATTTGTCTCAAGGTATTTTTTGGTATATCCTTTGATTCATTGGGTATTCAGGAGCACATTGTTTAATCTCCACGTAGTTGTAAAATATTTAATTTTCTTGTAATTGAGTTCTAGATTTCATGCCGTCGTGTTTGGAAAACATGCTTGATATGATTTTAATCTTAAATTTATTAAGATTTATTTTGTGCTCTAACATCTGATCTGTCCTGGAGAATGTTCCATGTGCACTTGAGAAGAATGCTGTTGGATGGAATGTTCTACCTATGTCTGTTAGGGTCATCTGGTCTAATGTGTGGTTTAAGTCTTTCAAGATGTTACTCTAAGTCTTCTGGCTTTCAGTTTCTATTGGTCACCTATCATTCTTATTGATGATATTTAAAACCTTTGGTTTTTTTACTCTGGCATCTTTTAATATTTTTGTCTTTGATTTTCAGCAGTTTTCTATGGTATAGCTGGATATCTTTTTTCTTTTTCCTGCTGGAGTTCATAGGGCTTTTTGAATTTATAATTTGATGTCTTTTATTGGTTTTGAGGAATTCTCAGTCATTTTTTAGGTATTGCTTCTGCCCCATTCACTATTTCCTCTCCCGGGATTACAGTTGCACGTATGTAGGGCTTTATAATTTATCCTGTGTGTGCTTACTCTATCTTCTGGTTCCCCCTCCCCACCCCCATAGTTTTGTATCTGTACTTTCATTCTGGATATTTTGATATGGCCCGTTTCTCTAATTTTCATTTCATCCGTATCTAGTCTGCTATTTAAATCATTCATTTTGCTCTTAATTTTCGTTATTGACTTTTTGTTTCTAGAATTATTTGGTTATTTTTCAAATTTTCTATACCTTTTTTACACCCTAGTCACCCCAGTCTCCAGTTGTTTGCCAAAATTCTCAGTGTTTTGTAATTTTTATATGTACCATGTTTATTTGTCTAATAGCCTTACCATCTGGAGATCCTGTGGGTCTGTTTCTTTTGGCTAGTTGTTTGTCACCTTTTAAGAAATTCATCCAGTCAGTGAGTTGCGTTTAAGTATTCCTTTGTTGATTCCTGTAGATTTTTATATGTGCACATTTTTGTGTACATTCAAACATTTTGACATTTTATATTTTTGTATCTCATGGACTATTCAAATGCACATATTTTAGTTTCCAAATAAGTAGGAAGTTTGAAGCCACCTTTGCAGCTGACTTCTAAATGTATTGCATTGTGAGAAAGTGTATCTATTATTTTGATTCTTTTTCATGCTTTTGTTGGTTTTTGCTCTGGCAACTTAAGATTTTCTTGTATTCGTATTCAGAAACAGCCTCACAATGTTTCTAGATATACTTTATTTTCCTTGGAATTTTTAATTTGTGTATGTTTATATTGGGAAAGTTGTGGCTATTCATTCGTTGTCACCCCACTATTTTTAAAAAATTTCTGGAATTATTGAATAGATATTGGAATGTCTGCATTTCTTCTTCATATCTCAACTTTCTTTTCTGAATATTTTATTATTTCATCCTTTCGTGATATTCTGGATCATGTCCTCAACCTGGTCTCTGTATCCCAAGGAAAGTTTCCTCCTGAAGACAGCACCGCCACCCCCCACTACCCCCCGCCCCACGAGCTTTCAGTCCCATGATGATAGTGGCAGGGGGGGGGGGCGGGTGTTCAGGGCTCTCCCGGCCTACACTGTCCCTATGCTGGTTCCTCATCAGCCTCCCTGTGGTTGCTGACCTCCAGTGCTTATTTTATACCTCCATATTTGAGATGACACTTTTCCTATTTTGTTTTCTATTTTCCACTCATGAAGCAAGTTTTCTGTTCATGAAGCACACACACGTTTTAAGCTAAAATCTTATGACAGCATGTGGAATGACATTTGCAAACAAGATCAGGCTAAATTTCTGTCCTCTGTGATGGCCTGGGAAGAATGAAAGAGTGAAGTCAAGTAGAAAATGCTCCTTCGTAGGAACGGGGGAAGCCAGAGAGGGTCCGGGTCAGATCTGAGTCAGGTAAATGATTGCTAACTATGCAGAGATCCTGGAATCATCGCTCTGTGCTGGAATGTCTCGCTAGCCACAGGCCTAGATAGCTAAGCCAGAACAGACGATCGCAACCAGGCCCGGGCTAGATTTGGATGGAGTAGCTGGGCTCTTAGCTGCTTAACTGCAGAGGCTGGCGTTGGCCGTTTCATTTCCCTCACGATAACCCAAACCCAGGATTTACCAATCCCCTGTTTTGGACCCACATGCATTTTGGCAAGAATTTACTTTTAGAAAGATGTATAAGTCTAAATTACTAATGAAACGAAATTCTTCCTTTGACAAATAGCCAATTACGGTTCTGTGAAACTCTTTATTCTTCTTTCCCAGTGAGCCTGGCAAGCATTCCAGCTGTCCTGAGTGGTGTAGGTAAATAATCTGTACACACACACATGTATCATTTGGTAGTATGTTTTTAATCAGTTGTTTGACTGCAAATATCTAAAATTCTGGGTATGTTAAATTTTAACTATGGTATATGATCAATTTGTGAATATAAGTTAAATAAATTATAATATAACATATTCACAAATTGATTATCATATACCATAGTTTATTCATTCTTTGCCTTCTCTCATTCCCAAATCTCATCTAGGTGCTTTTGAATTATTGCCACTCAAAACAATGCTGCAGAAACATCTTTAGACGTGGCTCCTTATGTACATGGAGCAAATGGTTCTCTGGGGATCCGAACTTTTTCCCTAGAGTTAAACTTTGGAAATAAAAGAAATTTCTTTCTTTCTCTTTTTTTTTTTTTTTTTTTTTTTAGTCATCCCTTTTGTATGCCTTATATGTATGTAAATTTCTCTACCAGCATGTTTGCAAGAAGGTAGACTGACCGATGCCGCTTGTCTTACAGGTACACAGTCCTCTATAGCTCTTGGACTAATCACCTCTGTGTTGAGTTTCCTGGTGATTCTGTTACAAAGCTCTTCTTAGTACAGATTGTTTTTAAATTGTTCTAGTCACAATATATCTAGAAAATACTGTATTCTTTTCCTTTATAGAGCTAACTTCCAAGTTGCATTTGGAGATGTTAGATACTTCTGTTAAGGTGGTAGGTGGTGCTTAGTGTAACCTGTTGTTTCCTGTTTACATCCCCGTCGGAAGGGAAAATGCTTAGGTTATCTCGGCCTCCTCTCGTTGTGTATTGGTACGTTCTCATGTATCCTATACTTTAGTAATATACTTACATAGTCTTCCCTTCTTAAATATTGTATTTCTAGCCGAATATCATTTAGACAATAATTCAAGATTATTTTTCTTAGTCTATGGCCATGCCACTCTGAAGGTGCTCAATCTCGTCTGATCTCGGAAGCTAAGCAGGGCCGGGCCTGGTTAGTACTTGGATGGGAGACCACCTAGGAAGACCAGGTGCTGTAGGTGTTTGGAAAAAAAAAAAAGATTATTTTTCTTGTTCCCAAAGTTGAAACAAATATAGCAGGAATCTCAGATGAGGGAGATCCAGGTCGTCTTCCTTCACTAACTAGTTTTGTGACACGCTAGCAGGGTTCTTGATGTTTAAGTAATTTATAAAAAGAGAAAGCTCAAATAAATGATCTTCGGGCTTTTTTCTTAAAACTTCTTTGGCCAGATTCAAATGAGTAATTTCTTAAACAGTGAGGAACTCAAAGAAACAGTATTTATTGCCTTCGGTATAAGCAGCAATGCTTATTTGAGTGTGTTAAGATTTTTAAACTGTAAATATATAGAACAGATACAGAAAGTATGTGTTTTTGTTTTTTACAGGTGTTTTGTCTGGCCATTTTAAAATTAAGTCAAAATGCCAATAAGACCAGATCTCCAGGTAAGTAGCCCTAGAACAAAAGTATTTTATTTTAGTTGCTAAAATCACTTTGTTTAAGGTATTAAGTGCTATATTTTAAAGAAAGACAAAGCTTACTTGTTTTCATGAAATGGTTGAGAGTAGAATAAATTAAAATGTTATCCATTCATTTTTTCCAATAGATTTGTTTTTAAAGCTGTATTAAGAATATTTAAATTATTATAGATGCTAATTATATACATATGTGTATATATATCTTTTAAAAGAATTGTTCACTGATTCATGTATAACTTCTGGTATTTTTATATCAAGGTTTAAGATCATAAGATAGTTGCATTTAGGTAAAGAGTAAGTTTTAATATAATTAACTCGTATGCAATTCACCACCAAGTCTGGTGATCAGATTATAGTATGAAAATTTCTTATTAATGATGTGTACATTAAAACCAGGGACGGCAGATTTTATAAAGTTTATACAGTCACACCCTGCTTAACGACGGGTGTGCTTTCCATGAAATGCACCGTTGGGCAGTTTTGTTGTGTGGACATCATAGTACACTTACACAAGCCTGGGCGGTACGGCCTACTACACACCGACGCTGTGTGGGGTAGCCTGGCGCTCCTAGCCTGCAAACTTGTATAGCATGTTACTGTACTGAACACTGTAGGCACTTATAACACAACAGTGTGTGTGTGTATCTAAACATGGGCAAGGTAAGTAAAAATATGGTATAAAAGATGAAAACAGTACAACGCTTACTATGAATAGAGCTTGCAGGAATCGTTGCCCTGAGCGAGTGACTGAGTAAGTAAGTGGTGGTGACTGCAAAGGCCTGGATCATGACTGTACTACTGTCGACTTTATAAACACTGGACATTTAGGCCACACCGAATTCATAAACCAACACGAGAGTAAATCGAACACAAGAGAAAATGATGCAATCGAGATGCAGTACGCATGAAATATGAGGCTACCGGCGACCTAGGACAGCAGACTGTTCTACAGCACGTCTGTCTTTTAGGTAGAAAGAGTGCGTTCTAAAATAACAATAGAAAGTTTAGCAAAGTAAATGCGTGAACCAGTAACATAGTCACTTATTATCATCAAATCTTCTGTACCATATATACTTGTGTGTGCTATACCTTCATACGACCTGCAGCACAGTAAGTTGTCTACACGAGCTTCTCCACAAACACGTGAGTATGGTGATAGGTTACAGTGGCTACAACGTCACTAAGCAAAAGGAGGTTTCCAACTCCATTATAACCCTGTGGGGCCACCATCCTATTTAAGGTCTGTCGTTGACCAAAACGTCGTTATGCAGCATATGACTAAATGTGTAGTATCATAAATATGTGTGTAATGCTTATCACATTGGTTGACATAGTTTCTAAATAGTGCTTTTGCCTGTCTGCTTTTTTTACTATTTAAACCTCATTAAGAAGTTAATGAGAGAGATATGTTGAGGTTTTATCCATGGTATTATATATTACTATAAAGTTTATTTTCTTTCATTAACAAGTTTTTGTTGAGTCCAACATAACGATGACTTTACAATTTAAGATAGGAAGTGGAAAATTAGTAAAGTGTATTTTTCCTATGTAGAGTCTTATCAAAAAAAGTTAATCTCTACATTACTCCAAATTTAATAGCGGATGGTTTTTTTTTTTTTTTTTAAATAAATGAGTTGATATTGTATAAGCTCTTCTGAGAATTTTGATGTAAAAACAATGATCAAATTACTAGATTGCATAAGTTGACTTAATTTTGACGTTGATTCAATATGTGCCGTTAACTATGTTTCTCTAGCAGTTGGAAAAATGCATTGATGATGCGTTAAGAAAAAATGATTTCAAACCTTTGAAAACACTTTTACAAATTGACATTTGTGACGATGTGACGATTAAATGCAGCAAACAGTTCTTGCACAAGTTGGATGACCTTATATGCAGGGTAAATATTTCTGTCGAATGATCGTTAAAATCATTAGATCGCTATCTCCTTTCTAGGAAGAAGCACTCTATTAGAATAAATGAATAAGGCTATGGCAAGCTTGACTATAATTATATAAATAAATGTTTATTTCACCACTTGCTTACTTTTTTGAAGAGTTCCAAATGACATATTGGACCATTTTCTAAATAAAATAAACAAAAAGCTGTGTTTACAGAGTTACCTAAACTAGGGAAAAACAGTTTACCTGTTCGGGGTTTAAACAACTTGATCTATTTTTTTAAAAGCCTGTCAGCATATTCTTCATGTTATAAGGGCAATGCCTGGTACTTGCAAAAATAAAAATGATCCAAAACCTTTGACTTGATTTATCATGTGTAAGGCAGTTTTATATGTGAAGCCGTGATTATTGGCAGTCTCACCCAGTATCTTAGACTTGCTTTGACTCTAAAAGATTGAGTAAACAATTCTTGTATCTGTTAGATAGTCAGGAGCTTTTTAGAATGGAAGGTAACTGATTCTTTGTATCAGTCTAAAGTTTCTTGAATTTATACAGATCTGCATTTTCGTACTGAGTTTGTCATTCACTGGCTCTAGGCAGGTTGCTTTTTTTAAACCACACTTTTGTCTTTTGTTCTTGGAGATTATGATAATGGCTAACTTCCAGGATTTGTGAGGATTATAAAGCTCCTATTATAAAGCAAAGTTCCACACTATTTTGTGTCAATAGATGTTTAAATGCGTACTTCTCATTTCAGGAACTTAATAAAAAGGATATTCAAACTGTTTCAACTATTTTGATTTCTTTTGGAAGATGTGGCAAAAATATCAGTATATTGGGGCAAGCCGGACTTCAAACTTTAATGAAACAAGGACTGGTCCAAAAGATAAGTATAGAATATATAACATTCATGTGAGGGAAAGATGATTAAAGGTATGCTTTCTAATAAATGGTTCAAACTGTTGAAAAATAAGTATGGAGACTTTATATAAAACTTTGAGATAAAACAAATATTTTTATAACCTGTGGTATGTGTCGCAAAGATAAAGATCACAAGGAAACTGTACACAGACACCTAGAAAATCACGTGAATTTAAAGTCACAAGACTCCCTAAGGCCTTTCCTCGCTTTATTTTCTTTTTAGCTCATCTTAAATTAATCACAATCTAACGTTATTTTTTTAATATTCATTGTCTATCTGCCATGTTAGAATGTAGAATATTGATTTTTGTCTCTCTTGTTCACTGCTGTCTACCCCAGTGCCGAGAACAGAGCTTGGGATGTAGTCTACACTCATATCTGAATTAAAAGTGAAATCAAAACTTTTCAAACAGCAACAATGCCCAAATCTAACTGGTGATCATTTATTCTTATCTATTATGAGTGTACCTGAACTAGGCATGTGAAGGAAAAAATTAAGGTCTTCTACCTGGAATTCGGGTTAACTTCAGCCACTCCCACCCAAACAATGGAAAATATAACGAGTTACCAAAATCCCCAAACAACGAAGATTTTAAAAGCATAAGCTTGTTTTGATACGATACTGGAATTTTGAGTTCTAATGTTTCTTTAGTCCTAGGTTTACTATTTATATAAAGGTATGTACATTCTCAAAGTTGAATTTAAAGTAACTAATATATATTTCTTTTTTTACATGGTTGCCTGGTTCGAAAAATCCAAGGAGATTATTCTGAGTCGAGGAAATTCAAAAGATGAAGGTGTTATAAGTATGATAGAAGACTTATTTGATCTTTTGATGGTAAAGATCACATTGACTGATGGTATAAAGCTTGTGTTTAATTAAAAACAACTTGTATTCTATATGCCGTCTGCCTGAAAGTCACTAATAGATTGGTTTGTGACTCAGTTGGATTAGTCTATTCAGACGGTATTAAACATTTATCCTGATTAAATAGTTAATATATAAATGTTAAATATGTTTGAGTTTGGATGTAACCTGTTGTTTTAATACTATCTGTGATGGTTCATAATATAGTTATAAATTAAATATTATTCACTTTCTTTCAGGTCATGTATGACACCAATGATGAAGGTATAATAAAAATTTTATTTCTATGGAACAATTTGCAGTTAGAGTTTTGGTATAATTTTGCAATTCTCATACTATTGCCCTAACATTAGGAATTCATTATCTAATTCTGGGATCAATCAACAAACCTTTTCTATAAAGGGTCGGATAGTAAATATTTTAGGCTTCGCGGTCCAAGAAAAAAACAAGGATATTATGAAGGTATTTATAGAACAAGGAAGAAACAAATTTCCACAAAATGTTTTATTGATGCAATTCAAAATATAATAATTGAGTACAATGTTTTTGTGATACAGGTATACTAATAAGGAGAATAACACTATTTTTTGAGGGGATGACATTTCACTTATTAAGGTTCTAAGTTAGTTTTTGCTATTGAAATTGATTGTAAATGATCATTTGTTCATGCTTATCTGTAATGAGATTTAATGTATACTGCATTAGAAAATATGCTGATAATAAATACTAATATTAATGAGCATGATTTTAATTGAGCATATTCATCACTTGGAAAACATAGAATTACATTAGATTCTTAGTATTTGCCTTTTAGAATGGCATTGCATTGCAGATTAATCACTTTCAGTCGAAGGTTAGATGGAAGCGCCTCAGTTGCATAATTAAATTAATTTGTACATATGGAATTTTCCTCTGCAATTACATCAGTGTCCAAAAATGCTGCTGGACCTATAGTGGGAGCTTGAAAAATATGTCCCCTACAAATTTGCATGGGAATGGAGATCACTTTTGGTTTAACTTTCGACAGCCCAGGAAATATAGGAAGCAGCTTGGCATTACTTGTGAATCAGATAACCTTAGTTTCATTGAAATGATTTTATTTTACTGACGTGTGAGTTCTCATATCCCGTGATTTCACATTGTAATTTGGGGTTGAGCTCATTAAACAATATCAACTCTGCAGCCCAAGCTATTTACCAAAATCATTCAATGGTAAGTGATGACAGCCAAGTTCACGAAAGTGCCTGAAGTTCATCTGGACACCACTGGTTCAATTAAACATGATAGATTCAAATATTTGCACAGAGTACCTGCTGGCGAATAATACAGAAATGGTCAGTGGGTTGGATTTGGTTCATGGGCTGTAGTCTGCCAACCCTTGAGCTAATGGAACAATATTTTCAATAGTACACTGAGAATGAGTTGTAAGTCTTTTTTTACTTGTGGCTCGTCGGTGAGCAGTCAGTTCCAGTTTATCCGTGTTGCCTGAGGAAGAATTACCTAAGGTTTCTGAGGCTGGTGAATTATTTATGAATAAAGGAATAGTCACTATTTGCTACCTTTAAAGCCAGAACATTTTAAAAGATTATTGGTGGTTATCAGGTCTAAATTCCTACATTTTCAGAGGAGAAGAATAGTCCTAAACTACCAGTGATTATACAGTGATCCAACAGGTTTTTTAAATTATATCTTTTCACCTAATTGAGTGATTTTTTTTTTCTTTCAATGTAGTCACTTTGGAAGGTTTTATATTTTTGTTGTGGTATCGCCATAAAATTATTCTTAAAATTTGCATTATAAAATAGCATGTGGAAAATTCCTCTGAATATATTTAATATTGATAAAGCCTTGTCTTTTGAGAATAGGATTAACATTTAGAAATAGCTCAAGATACTAAGGACTTCATGTTGTTGAGAGGTGATGACTAGTATGATATTTTTGAGGTATGACTATAAATTAGGCCAGTTTTCTCAAAACCTCATACTAGAAATTTCTACTTTTATATTTATTTCATCCAAAAAAGTAATACTGCCTTTTGTGCACGAAAGGAGAAGCTAGATTTGGATCTCTTTGCCAGAATTAAGATCCGTCCCATCTGTTGAATGTTATTTTTTTTTCCTCCCCAAAGCCACACAGCTAGTTAGTGGCAGAACCAGCCCTGAATTTCATGCTTACTGACGCCCAGGCCAGTCAAGTGGGCCTTGTGAACTGAATTGGTACTTCCTTTCCATTAACTCATACAAGTAAAGTCTATTGTTTAAAAGTATTTAAATTCACACTTATCAATAATTTAACACTTTCAGGTAAAAGGCAAGTAGCGGAAAGTTTCGTCCCTCGAATTTGTGCCCTAATTATTGACTCAAGGGTGAATATTTGTATTCATCAGGAGGTAAAGTCATTTGTTAGATTTTCTTTTCAAACCTAAAAATGAGAAAATGAAGAAAATGTGGTAGCAGTTATCAAATTGAATATTTAATGTTGGCATTTAATTATCATGTAGTATATTTCTGTTAACAATTCATTGCCTAACATGCGTTTATGTTAACCATATGGGTTTATGTATACATATTGCTCATACGAGAATATGCCATCTAGATCTTAGAAGTTCTTAAGTATTTAAACGCTAAAAATAACCCATAATGTATAGATGTCTGTACATGTGTATAACCATAAGAACAAATATTAATGTAATATTTTTTTGCTTTCCTAGTTCTTATAATAAAGTGATAACATGTCATTGCAAAGATTATAACTGCTTTAAGTATATAGGAATCATGGTATATTCTATTTTTGATATTCTCTATTTTATGTTTTTGTATTCACTATTTTATACTTACATTCTTCTCTGTATTCTTCTCCATTCCCTGCATAAAATCTTATAATTAAGAAAAAAAAAATAGGCTTCTAAGTTTACCTGGAATGTTTTCCTAAATACTTAAATGTTTCACTGAATATAAAAATTAATGGATTATCTCTTTTCTTCTTTTCTAGACTATAAAAAAAATGAATGCTATGCTTGACAAAATGCCTCCAGATGCCAGGAAAATACTGTCTAACCAAGAAATGTTAATTCTCATGTAATAATTTGTACTATATTTCTTTAGTGGTTCAAGTCAGGAATTTAAAGGATATTTATAAGGCAATAAGGCAACCATGCATTTCATTAACAATTAAAACCGATAAACTGTTGTAGGTTTCTAACATATTTTATGGATATAATTTCTGCAAAAGTCTATGATACCGGCCAATTGTAAATTTTAGTGAAGTATTTCCCCCCAAACATATTGACTTTCTGTTTAATTGATACTAACCTAGTACATAATCTGTTGTTTTGATTCACAGGAGTAGTATGGGAGAGAGGATTTTAGATGCTGGAGGTAAGTTTTTTCAAAAGGTTTATATTTGGAAATATTTCACATTTCCTAGAAAATGTCTTTTCAGTCAAACTAAATGTAGCGAGATGTGAGGGAATTATTAACTAATCAAGTAATTATTAATTACTGTAATAAATAAATGATAGATATTCGTGGGACTGAAATAATAATTAAGCATTACAGTAGGACTTGTTAAATATAATTTGTACCTAATAGTAGATTTCTGGATTATAACTTAATTTTTCAATAGATTTGAATTACTTTTGCTAAGAAATTCCTCAAACGGTATTTTATGAAGTTAGAAAGTTAAATATTCTTGGGATTGATAGATTTCTTATTAAACAATGTGTTTATTAAAACTCAAATTTTCTTTCCTAAGTTTCAAATGATAAAATTTTGATGTAGTGATTTACATAAAGAATAAACCACTGGTTTAAAGTACTTCGGAATAACTGTAAACCTCATTACACAAAAAGAATACAAAGATTCTGCAATTTTATAGACCGTTGTATGGGTTATTTTACAATTCACAACTCTAATAATCGATATTTCATAGTCTTTGAATATATAGGAGTGTCTTTTTTAAATATCCTTTTAAAAAAATTCACTCCTTCTATTAGTAAACTTGTTATTTGGGCCGTGTGCATTCCTGTAATAATGAACTAGTTCTAATTCATGTGAAGAAAATGACCAAAGATGAGTAAATTACCCTAATATTTTCCGTATGTCTCTTGCTTGTTCTAATACCTTATAAAATATATCAACTTTTATAAACTCTTAATTTTCATGATGTCAAATAATACATTAACTTTTTTTTTTAAAGATTACGACTTACAAGTAGGTATCGTAGAAGCTTTATGCAGGATGACTACAGAAAAACAAAGACGAGAACTCGCGTGCCATTGGTTTTCAATGGATTTTATTGCTAATGCATTTAAAGGAATTAAAGACTCCGAATTTGAAACAGTAAGTAGTACAAAAATAACAAATTAACAATAGCTTTTAAAAATTACTGTGCATTTTGAAAGTTTTTTTTTTTTTTTTAGGATTGCAGGATTTTTCTCAACCTTGTGAATGGCATGCTTGGAGACAAGAGAAGGTAAACTTAATGCAGGTTATTTAATCCCAGGAATGGGCATGGAAGGATAAGTAACAAATTTTTATCACTTTTGGTAATGACAGAACACAGTATTTGCAGCGCTGCTCCTGGTACCTTGTAGGTGCGCAGAACGCATTGGATGATTGAGGGTCAAGTGCAAGGAGTCATACCTTGGATTTGAATCATAGGTTCCTGTCTCCCTATTTTAACATTGGGCAAATTATTTAACCATGCTTGCCTCAGTTTCCTTAGCTGTGAAATAAGAATACTAATAATACCTACTTCACATGTGTGTTATGAAGATTAAATGAGGTTATTATATGCTAAGTACTTCCATCTGACCAAGGAAGTGGTCAGTGAATTCAGCCATTTTTCTTAGGAGTATTATTCGCTTTTCCTCTTCCATCTAAGTCCTGTGAGTACTCCCATTGTATTAACAGTCTGAGCTAAAATGAGGCTCTGCTCACGGTCAACAGCACAGAACACGGGATGGTACGATCACGTCAGTCAAAGTGGCAGGTTTAGTATCCTGAGTAATAGGCTCTCTCTGCAGGAATAAATTTACATTAAGCTTTTTACTCTAAAAACTAATAAAGAAGGAGACAGGATTTTGCATAAATTGTTAGGACCACTGCCTGATTTTCTTTTGATCCTAGACAGGGTTTCTGTGGCTAGTGAAGCTTATTCTGTGAAAGCTTATTAATTTTTTGTTTAACTCAATCTACTATTTATTTCAGGGTCTTTACATTTCCTTGTTTATCAGCATTTCTTGATGAATATGAGGTAAGTTTTAGATTTATCATGTTTTAGTTATTCAATGAATTTTGATGCTAAGGGTCAAGTGAATTACAGGTTACCAATTGAAAAGAACATTTAAAATATTCTTGTCATAATCAGATCTCAAATAGAGCTGGTCTCATATTTTATATCTAAGACATTTTGTGACCTGGTGTATTTGTAGCTAAGGATAAATGAAATATAAAGGCTGTACTTCACATTTTCTTGTTTCCCTAATCAAGCCCATTATTGATTTATCATTCATGAATATATACAAATGAATATTTTAACCTTTATTTGCGTTTGTGATTTCTTGGAGCTGGCTGACTTCTGTGTATAATACTAAGCAGATTGTTTCGAAATTGATTTAAATGCTGTACTATCTCCTTTCACCTTCTACCTATACTCTTAGCAAAAAAATAAAATAAGGCAACCACGATATTACCTGACTGCGGTTCTCTGCTGTCACTTTTAAAAGCATAGGATATATTAGTTTAATATGTTTGTTTTATTAGCTGCAAATACCATCAGATGAAAAACTTGAGGAATTTTGGATAGACTTTAATCTTGGGAGCCAGACTCTCTCATTCTACATTGCTGGAGATAGTGATGTAAGTTTTATTATCTCTATGCCATTTTATATGTATGTATATGTGCACTTAGAATGTCTTAATTTAATGTATTTTTCTTTGTATATTTATTCTCGTTATTTTAACGTATTTCAGCGTTATCTCAGTAATTTAGATTAGCATGATAACCTATCAAGCCAATTAGACATGAAAACTATTTCTGATGTTTATTGCAACAAAAATTAATGCTAAATTTCAATACTAGTTTTTTTAACATAAGCTTTTCAGAAATTACATGTTAATGTCAGATAAAACTTCGTTCACATGAATAAAGTGCATTGAATCTAGAAAAAAAGTGACTCGAATTCAGAGGCACTCAGTTAAAACAACATTAACAGATAATGACAGGTGGTCTTATTCTTATAATCTCTTGTTTGAAAATAGTGAGGAATTGACTCTCAGGTAGTATTTGAAAGTGAATTTTAGTTCTTTACCGTCCGTGCTGCGTCCTGTGTTTAAAGCCTCCAGCCAGGTGTCGTATTTTCTACTGACCGCTTTTTAACCTGAGGAAATTCTCGTTTCCAAATTGCTGCCACTTACCGCCTGGTGCGTGGGGTGCTCCTGGCGCCACCGGTCTCGTCGCTTTTGCCAAAATCTGAGCTGGAGTCGATCTGCATGTCGCAGTGTAGTGCGGCTGCCGGGATTCCAGTGAAGCGTTAGTCTCTTTAGTCTGCCTCTTATGAAGTCCTGCTTTTTGTTCCAGGTAGACTCTTTATAGATGAACGTTAACCCGACGCCTCTTGGGCTTCCCACACCCCTTTGTTTCTTTGTATTTTAGAGAGCTTCCTTAGACTGCTAAGTTCCAAACACTAGCACCGCTTCTCAGGGGCACTGACATTTTTGCATTAGTGTAGTTATTCCTGCAGCGTCTGTAGGAGTATTTTTAAGTGGATCTTCTTCAGAAGCTGGCCTTCCATTTTGAGAGGAGAGAGTGGACTAGATTGATGTAGTTCCTGCCTCCATTAAGCCTCATCCTGTGGATGATTCAGACCAGAAGCTAAGCAGTATAGTATCACACGTGATAGGGATAGGATAAAATGCATTAAGGATTTAATGCCTGTTATGTTGCAGACAGTGATCTAGAGATGCTGGGAGGTTCTTCTCAAAAATGTATTTAGAATCCTCTCTCCTCTGGATTTCTACAGCAGTAATACATTATCCCTGTATTCTCTCTTGCTCTCCTAGAAGCCATTCTGCGTAGAGTGGCTGCTTAAAACCCTTCTTTTGTCTCTTAGCGATGGCTCAGGAGAGTCTAGATCTGGCCCCTGGCTATTATTTCTCTGACATCTCAGACCGTTCTTTGTGCTTTACTCCGTTCCAGACACATTGTTTTTTTTTCTGTTCCTCTGACACAGGTCAGGCCCATTTCTGGTCTTTCCACTTGCTGCTGCTTCTGCCTAGAAACCGCCTCCAGATCTTTGTACGTCTGTTCCCTCCCATTGAGATTTTAGCACAAATACCACGTCCTTGCAGAGGAGGTCTTTGACGACTCAATCTAAAGCAGCCTCCCAGCCACACAATAACACATTGACCTGTTTTAGTTCCTTTATAGTAATTAAAGGAATTGCTGCAGTAAATTATAGTAAAATCATTCTTTTTATTTGTTGTGTTGTCTGCTCCTCTCCCGCAAGGGGAGATTCATGAAATCAGGGACTTGTCTTTCTCGTTGGTAGCTATCCATATTTATGACAAGAAAGAATAAATAGACTATTCAGAGAACCGGAAGGTACATAAGATGGTGAATGCAAAGAAAATTGGAAAGAAATAAGGCCGTGCAGAGCCAAAGAAGGATTATAAGTGGGAAGTAACATCAATTCAGTGAGTATTAGGAACTTACTGCGTGCCAGATATATGCTAGGCACCAAGGACCACATTCATGTGACAGATCCTTCTGGCGGGGAGAATAGGTTACAAAGGGAGGCGACCAGAGGCCGTTTGGAGACTTTTGCAGTAATCCAGGTGAGAACTCATGGCATGGTTTTGGAAAGTTACAGAGGGGTTGGATGGGGATGGATGGATCCCCCAAAAATTTGAGGAGGAGGTAGAACTGAGTAGACTTGGTAGTAAAAAGATTAATAAAACTTGGGTAACTGGATGGTTGGGGATGCTGTCACAGAGGATAAGTTTTGTATGGGAAAGATGATGAGTTCAGCTTTGAGAGTTTTGATTTGGAGATACTTCTGGGATATTCCGCTGGAGATATCTGGTAGGCGGTTGGAAGTATTGGTCTGAAGTTTAGGTCAGAGCACTGAGCCATCGTAGAGATTTAGAAGCTATCTGTAGATAGATGGTAAATAAAATCATGGGATTTAACGACTGCATAGACGACAGAACGGTGAAAAACACCAATTTATATAGGATAGGTGGGAGAGACTTGAGCCCGAAGGATACTTGAAGCAGCAGCCAAAAGAGAACGAGTTAAAAGGCAAGAGACAGATGTTTTCATGAGAGGAAATGACGTTTATTAAAATCAAACTGGTGAGGAGTGACGGCGCAGTTGCACATAGGAGGCGAGGGTTTGGGCGTTCCTGGGGGTGGAGATGCGCGCAGGAGGGAAGACAGGTGAAGGGCGCAGAGAGCCCAGTCTGGCTGGAGTGAGCTGCGGAGTCAAGGGAGGGGTTTTCGTTAGGGACTGTAAAGATAAGCCCTTGTTCCAGTTGACGGCCGGGGTGCCGTGTAGTAGAGGGAGCGTAGGGAGGAGGAGGAAACTCGATGGGCACGATGTGCTGGTAACTCGAAACCGGGTAAATGCATGTTTGTGGTTCGTTATATTTTTACTTTAAAAAAAAAAAATCTGTTTGAAAACTTATGTAGTAGAAAATAAATTTTAAAGGAAGGCAGGGAACAGGAAGGCAGTGCCTCCGCATCTGAGGAAGAGTCATTTTGGAGTGAGTAGGTGGTAACATCCTCGAAGGGACGAGTTTCCCACAGAGAAATATGAAGCTGCTGAGAGCGTTGAGGACAGGCAGCACCAACCCTTCCCTGCTGACCTGGGCGAGTCAGCACCTTCCCTGAAGCGGGCCCTGATGTCGTGGTGCCAGCAGGGTGTGGGCTGGGTTCGGTTACGGCAGGGAGCGGAGGGTTAGTGAGGAGACTGAGGGTTTAGGGAAGTCTCTGTAGAGTGAGTTGTCCTCGAGAACTGGATCTGTCTTCCTCAGGAGACTCCTGGAAGGTGTTAGGGCCCCATCTTTTAGGAACGGTATCCACTGTTTACTCTGGCTTTTTTGGTGAACTCCGTATTTATTCAGTTATACAAATTTCCAAATAAATTACTTGGAGAAAACATTTTAGGGTATTAATATGCTTTGAATGTTTGAATCTGAGGACAAATCAATATGTGTGAATTGAGGAATGTGTATGATTTCACAAAACATTTCAAAGGAAGAAATGATAGAATTTGGTAACTTTTTTTAAAAAAGGATATCTTTATTAATGGATAGTCATTCCTTTTTTTTTGGTCAAGAATGGGAAACCATAAAATTAGTAGCATTAATTCCTTTTAAAAGTGAATAGATTAAATGTGACATGTACAATGTATTATGCAGTCAATTGATGGAGCAAGAAATGTATTATATCAACTGGTTGCTCAGTGGTACTTGGTATTAAATAACCTTCATTGGTAGTATAACTTAAAAATTGTGTTTAAAGAAGCTTTAAAGCAGGAATCATTTATGGTCAAAATCTGTTTTAAATTTTAAGGATCATCAGTGGGAAGCAGTCACTGTGCCTGAGGAAAAAGTACAAATATACAGCATTGAAGGTATTAATCTTGTTTTCTATAATTCTCTTCTTTATTATCTAATGGAATAGAAGTTGCGTGCTCTCTGGGAAAACAAAATAGACTAATGAAAGCGAGACCAGCATTTCCTATGTTCATTTATAGATTTGCTAGTTCAATATCACTAAATTCCCTAACCCTACATTTCCCCTCCCACAATCTCCCAGCTCCCTCCTGTACTTACTCCTTTGCTGTCTAGACTCAAACCCATGAACAGTCACCTTCTCCTTGATATGTTCAAGCTTTTTGCCCTTCCATCCTATTGGTACAATTAGATCTAAACATTTAATTTGTCCACTGTGTAAGCAGCGTTGCATAACAGTGCTGGATGATCATAGCTTGGCAGTCTGGGACCACAACACATTCAGCTGTCAAGACGTGTTAGTCACTTCGATGGGCGTGGAGTGGGACATCATCATAGTTTTCATTTGTGTTTTCCTAATGACCAGTGATATTGAGTACTTTTCCATGTGCCTAGTGGCCAACCATGTATCCTCCTTTGTGAAGTATCTGTTTAAATATTTTGTCCATTTTCTCTTTTGTTAGCTTTATTCTTGTTTTAGTGGTTTATTGAGGAAAATTTATCTTATACGTCTTTAACTTAATAATGTGTATGTTTAAGTAGTAATCTACCCGTTTATGCGTAGTATAATAACCTTGTAACAGTATACTTCTATTTTTGTTTTCCTGGACTTTGTGTCAATTGCTTTACATGGTCAGAAACCCCATAATGTGGTGGTATGATTTTTTGCTTTATGAAGCTAATTATCTTTGCAAGAGATTTAAAAAGTGGATTACAAAGTATTTTGTACTTCCCAGCGTATGCACTGTTTACAGTGTTCATTTTCCTTTGGATAGACTCGGATTTCCATCGGGTTATTTCCTCTGCCTGAGTGACTTCTCTAATATTTCTGGTGGTGCAGATGTGCTGGTGATGAGCTCTTTCAGCTTTTATAGGTCAAAAATATTTATTTTACTTTTATTTTTGAGGTATTTTGATACAGACGTATTGCCTACTTTTCTTTCAGTTTGCTTTTGAAATGGCCCTCTGCTGTCTCCAGGCTCGCGTTGTTTCTGATGAGATGCCTGCTGTCATCCTCATTTGTTTCATTTTATTTGAAGTATTTTTCCTTTGGCTGCTTGTAAGATTCTCTCTTCATCACTACTTTTAAACCATTTGGTTGTACTGCTTTGGTGTAATTTTCTTAATGTTGTTTGTTCATAGAATTCATTGAGCATCTTGCTTCTGTGAGTGGGTCCATAGTTTTTTTAAATAAAATTTAAACTTTTCATTCATTTTTCTTCCATTTTCTCCCTTTTTCTCCTCCACTCTGGAGACTCTGATTACACAAACACCAAACTTGAAGTTCCCCAGAGCTCAGTGATTCTCTGGGTTCTCTGATTCCACCTTAGACTTTTTTCCCCTTCTCTTTTTTCTTTTGAATAGTTTCATATTGCCGTTTCGTGCTCATTAACATTTTCTTCAGTGTCTAATCTGCTTCTGATCCTGTCCTGTATAATGTTTATCTCAGGCATTATATGATTCATCTCTGGAAGTTTTATTTGGGTCTTTTTAAAAGATAAGCCTCTCATTTTAGAGTAGCTTTAGAATACAGAAAATTTTACAAATTAGTATAGAAAGTTTCCTCGCCCAATTTCTCTTTGTGTGGTAAAAAAAAAAAAAATGCATAACATAAAATTTACTATCTTAACCATTTTTAAGTGCGTAGTTCAGTAGTGGTAAGTATATTCACCTTGTTAAAGAAATCTTCAGAACTTTCATCTTGTAGAATTGAAGCTCTATACCCATTAAACAGCTTCCCTTTCCCCACCCCTCCCCCAGCCCTAGCAACCACCATTCTCCTATTCGTATGAATGTGACTGAGCAGAATCACACAGTGTATGTCTCTGTGACTGGCTTATTTCACTTAGCATAATGTCCTCTCATATTTTTTGCATCTTATTTTTGTGGTACATTTGTCACTGCTTTTGAAAACAAAACACCTGCTTGGATCCTATGGATTCCTCTAGCTCTCTCATTCTTTTTCCATTTATAGCCAATTTTTAAAGAATCGTTTGTACTAGATCTTTCCTCCTGCTATTCACGCCTGATCCTACTACATTCTGTTTTAAATCCAACTCCAGTGAAATTTTCACTGAAATTCCAGTTGTCAAAATAACTTACTATTATTAATATCCGCACTTCAGTCTTTCCCCCACATTTGACACTATTAACCACACTTTCAGTTTTGAATCTTTTTTCCTAATTTCTTAACTGAGCTCTAAATGTAGATATGAGTAATAGACTATTCCATTTGGATATTTTCACAAATATTCAATATCTAAAACACATGTCTGGAACTAAACTTATACTCAATACTACCTCTTTTACTTCATGTCTTGACCAATGGGATGATGATCTTCCAGGTTTCCCAGATGCAGATGCCATTCCTGATTGTTTCCCCTCCTCTCATTAATCGTTTTCCAGGTTCATTCATTTCTGTGTGTCTACATCTTTTGACTTTCTCCTCTCCCCCTTCATCTCACATCATTTCTCACGTCAGTCACTGCCATCTCTTCCTTCTAATGTTTTGCCTTTGTATCTTGCCAAATGTAGTTGCATGTTATCGGGCGAAAAGTTATTTTCGTTGTTTTAACGGCATCACTTAAAGTTGCTTTTAAGATTTACTTTCTAATATATGACTCATCCTAATTTTATGAGGATGCTTTTATAAAAAATTAAGTTCTTTACGTCTGGATTAAAAGTTTGGGGAGCTTTTCGATTGGCGAATAAGAATGCACCTGCGTGCCAGGAGAGTGGCACACGCCAACTCCCCAGGGACAGGAGCTCCTGTGCTCAGGACCGTTCCTGACGTCGCTCTGTGTATCTCTTCATCTGGCTGTTCATTCGTATCCTTTACTATCCTTTGTAATCAAGCGGTAATGTAGTCTACCTCTGTGGAGTAGGCAGGATCCGAGTTTTATATGAATGGCACTCATGGAAGTTAGAGGGTGGACCCTGGAGATCAATCAGTATCTCTACTGAAGAAGAATCTCTGCAGCTGTAGACTGTGGGACTGGGGAGCAGCAGCATAGAAGACAGAGCCCCCTCTAAACAATGTATAAAATGCTCCTTGGACAGATATTTTTGTTTTTTTTAATGGCTTTGCAGGAGAAAGCATATTATTAACATTCATGTAAGTATAGTATCTTGGAATCCCAGAGAAATATCTAGGTAACATAACATCCAAATATGTTCATATCTATAAGTGCTTAGATTTTATAGCAAGCAACAAAGTAGTTCATTTTCCAGTGTCTCGGTAACATTGTTAACTGACAAAAAGCAAGCCATGATACAGTCCCAGCGGTCACAGCAAGTATCAGGAATTTCAGTGAAGCCAGCGATAAAATGAATATGTGTTACTTTATACAAATAGGTACAGAGCACTCAGCAAAGCAATAAATTCGAAGTAGTTCTAATACCATTTCGTCGAAGCCAATGCTTCATTTACTGTACGTTCACAGCAAGCTACAGGAAAAAAATCAAATGCGTATCAGGGATATAGCAATCAGCAAAATATCCATATGGATTACAAATATTCCAGTCTTCATCAAAATCTGAACCATTATCTTCAAAGTCACCTAAGACTTTTTTCCAAAAATACCGCTGGTCCACTCTGAGTTAGAAACTGTCACCACTGTCTTCAAACAATAATTCTTCGTACCCTCGAAGGACATTATGTGAAAATTTCACGACCACATAGTTGCAAAAGCAAGTAAGACATTTTCTTCTTGGGCAAGCCTCAAAAAAATTAGAATTTTATAGCCTGTAGTGACATTTGTCCTTTAGGCTCGGTCACTGAGTGGCCAGCAGAGCTTTTCCTGATCTAGGGACAAACTGTTCTACTTGGTGGTGGTCTTTTTCCCTCCAGATGTCTTCCTTCTGCCCAAAAGGCTACGCTGGGGGCAGGTGCGGGGACTTCGTGGTCATCAGCAGGGGCGGCACTGGAAGTCAGACAGGCCCATGGTGGCTGTTAGTCCATAATATAGGCACATTAATTGAGTGCCAGGTAATTTTTTATGAAGTTTTGGATGGAGGGAGGCGAATACCTCTTCTAAACTGGCATTTAAAGTATTTTCTTTTCACTGAATTAATAAATTCGTGGAAGATTAGCCCCACGCCCTTACCTCACGATTTCCTAGCACTCAAGTTTTTATCAAACGTCGTTTGTTTACCTGTCAACACATTTTAATTGTGGATTTAAAAAAAATGTTTGAATAGATGCTTATGCATAGAAATGTCGTTATTTATAGAATTAGTGATTTTCTCTGCCTCTTTTAAGAAAGTCATTTTCTCACATGTTTTCAAGGAAGAGGCTGTTAGTGTCCAGAATGTATTCAGGGCTTTAGTTTATTATTATATTACTCTGTAACTTATAGATCAGGAAACAGATTCTGAAAAGTTGACTTAAAGATTTTTGTAAATAAATCGACTTAATTTGTTACATACATGATACCAGAATCAATTTAAATGCTGTTTTATCTTAATTTTATTTCAATTCATTGTACTATTCTGCATGCTTGTGTTATTTGTAGTGCACCTGTAGAGTGGTTTCATAGAAGTGAATATAAACTAATCAGCGTGATTTCTTTGCAGTGAGAGAATCAAAGAAACTACTGACAGTAATTCTGAAAAACACAGTAAAATTTAGTAAAAGAGAAGGGAAAGAACTGCTTTTGTATTTTGATGCGTCATTAGAAATCACTAATGTGACACAAAAAATTTTTGGCACAAATAAATATAGGGTAAGTGTTTAAACTGTTTTTAATATTATTTTCATACTCTAGAAATATATAGTTACTTGGAACTCAGTTTCACTGATTTTTTTTTTTTTGAACTCTTAAAATGTTATATAGATTTTTTAGTTCTTTAAACTTGTACTGGGGACTAGCCATTAGTATTGTTAGCCATACCCTCTGAGATATCTATTAGAAAGAATCTCAGAAAATAAAATAAGCAGCAGTTGCTCAAAACATTTCATGGATTCCTGCCAGACGGGTAAAAAGTAAAATGAGACAAAGCCCTATTTTCGAGACATTAAACATAGTTTATGAGAATTACAGAACCCACCTCAGAAGAAGTAAATATGCGGCATAGGGAAAATGAGGTGCAGAAGTTGAGGAAAGAGAATGCTCATTAAGAATCAGATTGGAAGAACAGGCTATGGAGATGGGCTTGGAATGGCCTTTGAAGCTGGATGAGATTTAGATCACATGCTTTCCAGGACTGGAAGACATTGGTTATTGGATATTGCTGGATAGAGTTGGATATTGTTTAACTTGGAATCTAAAGTGACAATTGACTTTACGTTTGGGGGAGATAACTCTGTTGACAGGTTTGGATCGTGTGTGTCTTAATCTGTTCATGCTGCTGTAACAAAAATACAACAGATTAGATGACTTAAGCGACAGACATTTGTAACGCTCAGTTCTGGAGGCTGGAAGTCCAAGGTCAAGGTACCAGCAGATCTGGTGTCTGGTGGGGGCATGCTTCCTGGTTCACAGTGGCCGTCTTCTCTCTGTGCCCTCACATGGCAGAAGGGGTGAGGGAGCCCCTGGAGTCTCTCTTCAGAGGGCACTGATCCCATTCATGAGGGCTCTACCTTCACGACCTAATCGCCTCCCAAAGGCCCCACCTCCTAGTCCCATCACCTTGAGGTTGGATTTCAACGTGAATTTCGGAGGGGACACCGTCAGTCTGTAGCGGTGCAAAACGTTTGTGGCGAAGAATAGCAGAGAATGTTTGTGAGGGACCCTTACCAAACGGCAGGCCAAGAAGACTCATGGGCAGTCATCGACGTGCTCCGAGAAGGGTGTTTATGTATACAAAATAACGATGAGATAATTTGGCAGTTTAGGAAGGAAAAAGGTAGGAAATAATTACATTAAAATGGAACGAACTGGAAGAAAATGATATCACTTTGAATTTTAGGAGTTTACCAGAAAACAGAGCATTTCAGTTGCCAAAACATCTGTGCATGTACTTTTTGATGCAAGTGGATCACAGGTATGTGTCTGACTTACTTGATTTTAACCATCAGGTGCAGTTTAACCCAAGTAATAGCACAGTAGTAAAGTTCATGTTGAATATCTTAAAAATAAATGGTCTCGACATAGATAGTGCCCCAATAAGATGTATATGATTTTTAAACATGTTGTCAGTTAAATTATTTTAGTACAGGAGGTAGATAGTTACTAATCAATACCAGTTCAGGAAACTTTAAAATGAAGTATATGTCCTTCCACTAGTGCGAAAGCTTGTTGTAGGTCTATTAATATTTGAAAAAGTGGATGCTTTTAATTGGGCCACTTTGTAAGACTAAAAATTATGGTAGTACATAGAAGATGGAAAGAATTGACCTGTGTAAGTATCAGATGAGTGGGCGCTTTATTCAGATATCCACTGTTTTTTAGGAACGTCCTATGGTCTGCAGTTTTAAATCTTTCCCGCATTCCCCAACAGATTCTGGTGCCAGAAAGCCAAGCCTCACCGCTAGAAGAACTCGTTAATTTGAAAGAAAAAGCTAACTCTCAAAAGGAATTTGCTAAACCTCCAAAACATATCAAATACAGTACTCAAGGGGACAGAAAAAGTAGTCAGCTGGAGGTAAATATGTTGTCAGAATTCTTGCTCATAAAAAAGCATAAAATCATCGCTATATATAATCACAGAAAAAAAGCATCTAGAAGTTTGTAAATTGCCTTCCTCAATAACATTTCAAAGTATTTTCCCTGTCTTTTGCAACTACAAACAAAAGATAGCGTCTTAGCGAATTGTGTTTATGTGTAAGAGTTAGAGGGTTAGGACAGGGTATGCTATACACTTGTAAATTCCAAATTAGCGATACATAGGAAAGTAATTACCACTTTTTCATCTAACCTTTCTATTCTATTTATACATTTAGATATGATGTAGACTACAACTTTATAATGTTTGTATAAATTGGTTTATTCGCATGGGGAAAGAAAGCCAAGTATTAGGTTCTTTTTCTGCCACCGCCTCCTCCTCCATTGGGTCTCCCCGGGCCACATCAGGTAGGACCTCTCCGCCTTCTTTGTGCCTTGCTGTGACACTTGACATCACTGTCAGCCCTCTCTTCCTTAAGGTCCTCCTCCTCTTAGACTCGTATGTTAGCGCTTTAATTCTCTTCCTACTTCTGTTACTAGATCAGAAACGGTTTCTCTCCCCAGCCCCTGAAAGCAGCTCTGCTCTCGGAGCCTGATACCCCGCCTTCTGGACGTGTGTGCGCCTTCTCCCTTCGCGAGCTTCCTTCATGCGCATAATTTAAGCTCTAAAAATGCACCAGACTTCGCCGCAAAGTTCTGTAGCTACTTCTCCACGTCCTCTTCTAATATGTCTTTCTGTCTCTCCAAGCCCTTTTTTAAAGTCTGACCACAAATTATTTTTTGCCTCACATCTGTATCTGCCTCCATACTCCAGTAGTGCTGCCGCTGATTTTTCCGATTCCCTCCATTCCAGCCTCTCTCCCCCATACCAAGTTGCTAGTGATCGTTCTTTTCGTAGTGTCTCTCACACCCTCTGCTCCTCATTCCCTTTACCAGGACTCATTGTAGCATGCCTAGATCAACAGAGTCACCTCTTAATTGATCTTTGACACCTCGTTTCATCCTGTGAGCTATCCTGTATGGTATCCCACTGACTTTTCTTCATGTTAGTATTTTTGTAGCATTTTCCTGCTCAGAAAGCTTGGTGATCTATGTTTATTTCACTCAGTCTAAACTTTGACTCTGTTCCGAGACTATAATTTTTACTCTATTAAAATACCTTTCACTTTAGTAAAGTCAGTGCTTTATGGTCGCGTTATGTCGTGCTGATTCTTGCCTCTGTAGCTTCCTGCATGTTGTTTGTCCCTTTTTCTCCTTTACTCATCTAAAGTGAACTTATATTTGCTAGTCTTGGTTCATTTTCACTTTCTTCATGGAGCTTTTTCTGATTATTTGAGTTTTTACTAATTTCTCACCTATAGGCAACTATAGCTTTCACAGGCTTTTCGATACATTTGGTATGTTTCTTACAATTTTTTCCATTTAGTCTTATGTCCGTCATTAAATTTAAAAGGTCATCTTAATATTTGCTTAGATGATTAGATCATGAAAGCTATTTTCTGTCTTTATATCAGAATCATAATTTGAGTACTTATTAAAAATGCAGATTCTTAGACCCTCCCTCCCCCCCACCTCTACCTACTGAATCATAAACTCTGGGAAAGACTTTAACAGACACTAAAGTTTGGAAACACTGTACTGTCGTTAAATAGCCACTGTGTTTTCATCAAGGATTAACCGTTCAAAGCGTTTATGTGCATAAGTAACTGTTCAGGTCCCATTCACTATACCACTAAGAACTGCCATTTTTTAAGAAGAATCTACTGGTTCTGGCTTGTTTTCTGCTTAATCTTAGAATTTCCTTTTCTACTGTCCTCCTCATCTTTCATCCAGGTCTCATATACACAGCTACCTAAAACTCCAATATTTTTTTCCTCTGTCTTAGGCTAGGTAGGTGCCTGTTTAAAGAGGCTCTCCTCCACCTCTTTACGGTCCGTCCTCACCTCCTCTATGTGGTACCCTGTGGCACACCTGTCCCCCGTAGTCCCTGCCTCTGCTTCTCTGCTTCTCTTGCTCTTACAGTCACTCAAGGATGAAGTTTAAAATGCAAGTCTTTATTGGAGCTACTAGCTTGTGTGTCAGTCTCTGATTTCTTGTAGCCGCTTTTTACTCCAAAGGGAGTTCCGTCTTCACAGAACATTAATATAATTTTTTAAATGTAAGAAAGTTTCAGACGATGCTCAACATCATGGAAGCGTTCACAAACGAGTTTACGTGAATGTGTATCCAGACACCATCTACATGACGCAGGACAGGACACTGAGCCGCTGTTAACTAGGTGAACCAGTGGCAACAAAAAACGTCTCAGCTGGTCTACAGAGACACTTTGTCTCGTTTGTCTAGATAGTCTATAAACATTCTTCAAAACAATATTCCTTATCTGTTTCAGCTACCTGTTCAGTACCAAACATTAGGAGAAAACCCTTGTTTAGCGAAAAGTCAACCTAAAACAAAGAGATTTCTGGATATCATGTCTATAAAATGCCACATATCTTTGTGTGTGGTCAAGGTAAAATGTTATGAATAAAACTGTAGGATATCTAATTTCAAAAGGTAATACGTGTTTACTGTGGCTCTTTCTCACGGTCGAAGGTAATCACTCCCAGCAAAAGGAAAATGTCTGAAGCATCAATGATTGTTCCTGGCGCAGACAGATACACCGTGAGAAGTCCAATACTTCTGACCAACACATGTAAGTCTTATAGTCTTAAAAGATTTCCAAGAAGCGTTCTCATACTTTAAAGCAGGCATTTTTTTAATTCAGAAATATTCGGGATATAATTTACCTAGAGGATAAGTTGGGATATAAAAATTGAAAACCACGAACCACAGATGTTTCAGAAAGGGTTAATGGGTGTTGACATATAAACATTATTCAAAATATTAATACCCAGCATTAATAATGTATTGTAATTTAAGCGGGAGCAGCATAACATAGTAGCTAAAACAATCAGGCACTTGGCCTTGTTTCCCACTGTCGGGCTGTGCTTTTACAGATTATCTTCTAGCTAAGTTTAGAACCAGTTTCCTTTCTGTGAAATGGGACTAAAGTGTGTCTACCTCATAAGCTGTTTAGAGGATTAAGTAAAAATCATTCCTTCAAATGACAAGGAGTATTGGGAAACATTTAGACAGCAACTGGCACATACTAAGAGCTGAATAAAAATTAATAATCTGATACTATATCCTAGTTGCTACAAACACAGTCTTACTTAATCCTTATGACAATTTAATAGTGACCTTTTCCTAAAATCCAGTTCCCTGCTGGGCAGTTGGCTAATGTCCAACAGGCTCTCCAAATGTAACAGATCCAAAAGGAATTCATCTTCGCACCCTCTCCCACCCCAGTTTCCTACCAGCTCATTCTCCATTCCTTACCTTGGTAAACGGCATCCATATCCGCTTATCCATCTAAGCCGGAAGCCTGGGGACCGTCCTGGAACCTCTCTCTTTTACCTTCCTCGTCTAAAAAGTATCTCAATAAAGCGATATGTAATTTTTAAAGCCCCATAAACAAACTAGTCTTATGTCTTCCTTTTTAGTGACACCACGAAGAAGAAGAATTAAATCACCACTGCAAATGACGAGCTCTGCAGAAAAACCTGGGGTTTCTAAAACATCGGAAAATGAAGTGGATAACGCTGCATCACTTAAATCTGGACCATCTCAAGGAAGAAATCGAGGAGATGATACAGACAAAGTAACTTTGAAAGCATTTTTAAAATTTTATCAAGTTATTGTAGAAATACATATTGAGCTAACTTCTTTTGCAAGCAGTGAGTGTCTCATGTTAAGGCATTGCTTTTTTTTTTTTAGGTATCATTTATTGTTCTTGAACATGAGGTCATTCTCACATACAACTCATTCTCATATATGACTGTGCTGACAATAATATTTATATGAATATCTATTCACCATAACTCTGATTTATGCATTTGGTAGGAGAATGGGCTCACAGTTTTTCTATATTATACAAATTAGCATCTCCTATGGGGAAGCTTCTGCTATAGAAACATAAGATACAAGTGGACTCTGTCTTTAAGTATCTCAAAGTCTAGCATAGGAACTGGACAAATCAACAAGGTAGTCATAATAGTGTAACTGTTCGCAGATGCGCGTGTAGAAGGCAGTAGGAAGCTAGCGAAGGGGCTGGCGCCTAAGCCCAGAGCTGGCGGGGAGATTGAGATCAGGATACGCTCTTTAAAGAGATGGAGAGTGAGTTGATTTTTGAAGGGCCAATGAAGGTTATTCGAATGGACATCGAGGAGAAAGGCATTCACTGCAGGTAGCTGAAGGGGCAGAGCGGGAAATGGATAAAGCTGTTTCTTGGAGAAATAGGAGGTAATCAGAGATACAGATAAGTTTGTAGATGAGGAACACCTAATAGCTTTTGTTTTCTCTGAAGTGTGAAGATGGTGAATCTTCTTTGGGGATGTGCTGACAAACAGGGCTCAGGGACATGCCAAGGTTTGGAAAGCTACCGAGAGGTAACGGAGACGGCTGATAAATAGGGGTGCTCGGCCCTGTGGAAGGCCAGTTTAAACTTAAGACTGCATTTTATCATGGCATTGGTTCAGAAATAGGTGTAATGTTCCTTCAAATAAAGCTTAGTAGCCTGGTGTTACAGGAAAGAGTAGATGGCAGACTTGAGAACAGCTTTAATGGTTATGTGGCAGAAAGAGAAAGGGCGCAGGAGTTGCAGAGATTAGAAAAAAAGTCAAACTGATGGTTCCAGTCGTCTAGCTAGGTGTTTCTTAATAGGAACGCCGCCGCTCAGTTTTGTGGCCTGGTCCTGAGTGTCGTCGGGCAATACGCATCCTAGGCCTGTGCTTGCTTATTGTCAGGAGGACCCTTCTGTCTTGGTGACACCCAAACCTGCATGTTTTCACACTGCTCCTCTCCCAGCGGAGAGGACCAGAGGAAGTGGGGAGAAAGCCAGGACGGGTGAAGTAGCCTGGGGGTGTACTTGTCTGACAGTGACGTCAGGTTTTTATTTGACCTGGGTAAGCTCGTCTCTGGCTATGGAAAGGGAGAAGCTTCCTGTAGGTAAGGAGTTATCTGAGCGATGGCCAGAACTTTATACCATCATATTATGTTTCATAAGTTCCAAGTCCTTTACATGAGTGAAAAGACAGACTAGATGCAGGTGAAGAGGTCAGCAGCAGCAGGAGACACGCCACGGGGCTCTGGTAATCGTCAGTTACAGAGGAAAACTCGGTGGTGCTAGCTGAGGATGAGAGCAGGACATTGGCAGGGTCCCTGCCTCTTAGTCTGCACCGAAAGTTGTTTTCTTGCGTTTTAAGGATTGGTAATATTCTAGACTGGGCATAACCTTTATGAAATGCAGTTGACTTTTGAACAACACAGCTTTGAATGGCATGGGTCCACTTATATGGGGATATTTTTCAATAAATACTGTGAATGTATTTTTTCTCATGGTTTTCTTAACGCTTTCTTTAGCTTACTTTATTATAAGAATACAGTATATGATACATATAACTTACAGAATATGCGTTAATCAACTTTTACTGGTAAGGCTCTGGTCAATAATAGGCTACTGGGGGAGTCAAAAGTTATATGCAAATTTTTGAAAGGTGGGGGGGTCAGCACCCCTAACCCCTAAGTTGTCCTAGGGTCAACTGTAAATAGAAATACTATCCAACTTTTAATAACAAGGCAAATTTATTTTAGGTTTTAATCTTTAATACTTTTAAAAGTTGTTTTCTCATGATGCCTTAATCAAATTTACTTCATTATGTGTCCCGCGTTTATAGCATACCGAAACTGCTAAAGTCGCAGAAAAGACAGAAAATAAGGACACTGACTTCCCAAACCAAAATTTTAGTAAGTACTTTTTGGCTTAATTTCAGCTGCTCTTTTAAAAAATGTCTATATCTCTCTCTC